AGGGTGGGACCCCTGAAGGCCCCTCTCTGCTGATCATTCTTTCTCTCCCGTCTCTCCCGGGAGCCGCGCCGCCAAAGATCGACGCTCTCTCCTCATCGCTCCTTTCATCGCGCACCCTCCCTCAACCACCTCACCGCCCTCCTCTTCCACTTCCCTCGGGAGAGCCGAACAGGGGGGGAGAGACAAATAGCGGGAAGCGGGAAGCAAACTGCCGCACCGTTGTTGTCTAGACACGATGGGCCTGGGCCTAGGTCTACACTGTAATTTGAGGTGTCTCAAATGTATACCCCAAAAGGCGTTTGCTACCGGATCCGGAGCGATATTTGGCGTATACTTTTGAGGCATCTTTTGGCGTATAGATTCTAGACATCTTTGCCCATACTACTCCCACGGCACAGCCCCGGCTTTGAGCACGCAGTGTGAGGGTGTACAGGACGTGAGCGCCTTTCAGATTGTATATGAGGGCCTATGCTGTGCTGAGGGAATGGTATGGGCAAAGATGTCTAGAATCTATACGCCAAAAGATGTCTCAAAAGTATACACCTTTTGGCGTATACATTTGAGACACCCCAAATTACAGTTTACTCGCCCTGCTCTCTCCCCCTCCCCCTCCTCCTTATTGAAAACCCGCCGTTTTTGTTGTTTGTTTTTTTCAAAAAGAAATATTCTTCTTGTCACGCCATTACCTAAATTTCCCAAACCAAAGTTAGGGGTCGTGAAATGGGAGGCGCTCATTGGCTGGGACGCGGGCAGCAGAGTGGTGGCGGCCAGGCCGGCCAGGCCAGGCTGCCAGTGACGGTGACTGGCGGGGCTGCTGCGGGGGGTGTTCTGTCGGCGGGCTGTTCTGTTCTGCTGCCGGGGCTGCTGGCGCGGATGCCAGTGGGGATGCCGTGGCCTGTCTAGGATCGGTGCGTGCGGACAGCATCAGCGGCGCAGCTAGTATATGAGCAGTATCCGGCTGTATCTCTACCCCCCGCCTCCTCCACCCTTCACTTTCTCTAACAAACAACGCCAAGTCACCCTACCCAGTCCATATATACTCTTTTGCACTGGTGCGTCGAAACCGCGTGGGGGGGGGGGGGGGATGTGGAGGAAGGGGTAGAAGGCACGAGAGAATAAGGTAAAGAGAAGAAACAGTGGAAGGGATGGTGAGGGGCGGGGGACGGTGAGCAGCACGAGCAGTGGAAAGGGGAAGGGGGTTGAGCAGCAGTGGTTTGGTTTACGAGCCGACAAAGTCCACAAGATTAGCGGGGTGAAAAGAACAAGGGGGGAAAACGGGGGAAAAGAAACAAAAAATAAACAGGAGGGAAAGTAGCAAGAGGAAGAGGGGGGGGGGGAGTGAGAGAAAGAGCGACGGGAAGGGGGAGAAAATGCGTCAGGGGAAAAAAAGCGTGGAGGGAAAGGTCACAAGCGTATCGCTAATTTTGAATAATAAACGAGACCTTTTTACACACACCGTGCAGCGCGGCCTATCGGGTCTTTTATGCAGGCTTGGCTAAAAGGAAAAGAGGTGGGAGGGGTGGGGGGTCATAATGGGATATAGGGTGTGGGAGAAAAGATTATCAGAAACAAGTGCGAAGGGCGAGGAGTAGTGAGAATCACTTGTGAGAAATAGGGCAAGAGGGATTGAGGAGAAAGTTATGCCGTAAGAAATACCAAAGCCGTCTAACTGTCTCCTCCTCCGGAAATGACGAAATAAAGACAAGAATCGGACACGGACACTACGATTCACTTCCGGGGTGCGCGCGTTGGATGTGGAAGACACAGCCGCCGCCCTGAGGCGACTGCAGTGGAATTAGCGGGACGGTTTTATGGTGTCGTGCTGCCGGATGTTTTTACCCGGCCACCCCATCCCCCCCACTCCGCCCCCTGCCCCCGCTCAGCTACGCTCCGCCACGCCCCGCCCCGTGGCGGTCCGGTCTGGCCCGCCCTGGTTGTGTTTTCCTCGCTAATGCGTTGGCCAGGTTCCCCTTTGTGGGTCTGCCCGTGCCACTGGGGCGCGGCGGGGCGAGGCCGGCAGGTTATTCATTCGCTCATCGTGGAACGAAGGGCACGCAGTATATCCAGCGTTCAGCAACGGGGCTTCCAGCAGCTTCCAGCAGCCCGCGGTCAGTACAGCGGCGGAGCTGGAGCCTGGAGCCGACTGGAGCTGAAACTTGTTTCCGCAGCTCGGAAGGCCCGGCGCTTGCTCAGCCACTGTGCGGCGGCGGGGTTGGGATCTCATCCCAGGCCTACCCTTAATGGTGCCGCAGCACCGGGTTGGGGAGGGGTGTGGTGGGGGGACAGGGTCGTTGTCGGCGGCGGCCCTCAGCGGGCTTCAAAATGCGGCCCGGAGTGGCCTGTGCGGCGGTGCCTGTGCGGCGGTGGAGTGGAGGCTGCCGGGGGGCTCCGGACTGGTCCTTCAGGGACCTAAGTGCCGCCCTGATCTGGCCGCCCCATTAATAAGCCTTACGTTTCCCAGCGTTTCTCCTCCCCGACTGGGCATCGCGAGCCGAAGTGGGGAAGGGGGGGGGGGGGCGAGCGGGCGAGCCTTTATGGTTTTACGCCCTGGTGAGGGGTTGGGGAGGTGGGGTGGTCTGGCGCACAGGGGTGACAGAGAAAGAGAGGGAGGGAGTGGTAAAGGGGGAGTGAGGGGAGTGGGGAGCCAGCGACAAAAAGGCGCTCGACCTCCGCTCCGCTGTGCTGCGCTCATACAGCAGCACCCCCAGGCTGGTGGCCAAAGCGGGGGGCCGCGGGGGGCGGCGCGGGGCGGTAGGGGGAGGGTGGAAGGGGCGGCCGCGCCGTGTGGACATGTACATATAAAGTCCCAGGTTTGGCAGGGGCAGGAGGGCGGGAGGGCAGGAGGGGGGAGGGGTGAGTTCTTGAGAGGAGAGGGGAGGGGCGTGGGCCGCGCGGGCAGCGGCTGGGCGCGTCACCACGGCGAGGTGCCACGGCCCCTGGCGGCGGGCTGCGGCGGGCCGGACGGGGCAGCTGAAGCCATGCAGCTGTTGATCGATTGGCCCATACCTACCGAGGTAGCCGGCGGTCGCACAGGCCTGGGGCCGACCGGGCCGACCAGCCAGCGGTCCTGCATGCCCAAGATGCGGAACAAAAGGAGTTTGCGGGGCGGTTGCCGCCGACCCCGAACGCCGACCCTCGGTATATCTTGCAGCGGGATTTGCTGGACTGGTATGGGAGGGCCGGGGAAAGCGCCAACCCTGGTGTTGGATAGGCTAGGAACGTTTCTTGTCTCGCCATTCACACTGCAGGAATACGTACTCAAGCACAACGTCGTTGTGGCCGCACCCCAGCCACTTGCGTCTGTACCGACCGGTCACATGCGCTCGTGCGGGTGAGTTGCCTACGCGATCAGGCTCGATAGTCAGAAGCTATAGAAAAACTCGCCCGCGTGCTTCTATACTTTTTGCCAATGGTTTCGGACATGCAACGGATGTGGATAATATACAACGTTTTACTCAGAGGGTAGCGGCTGGTAAATTACAGAGGTACTACATGAGTTAGGGTTCAGGGTGAGGGTGCGTGGTAGTGGGTATGGAGGGTTCGGTTCGGGCGCAGTCGGCCTTCGCCTCCTCCACGACGACGCCAGGTCAGGTAGGGGCGCAAGGGGCGCAGGGGCCTGGCGGCCATCCAAGCCTTAATTGCGCACATAACCACACCTACAGCAGGCGACTGCAGCGCGACCCCAACACGCGCTCTCACTCTCTCCCTCTCACTAACACACACACACACACACACACACACACACACACACACACACACACACACACACACACAGAGAGAGACAGACCGCCAAGCGAGGAGCCAAAGAGGGCGCAAACCCCCACTCCCTGTTTCGCCCTTTCTTTTCATTTTCTCCGCTCGTGCCTCTTTTAAGAGCGCGTGCCCCCTTCCCCTTCTCAACTCCCTCCACCCCCAGGAGGTCTTCCAGGCGTCTGAAACAAGGGCCAGCCTACGGGGTTTTTCGTTATTTCACAGGCCCTCTCCTCGCTCCGTCGTCTGCTGGTCTGGCCGGCCGGGGGAAGAGAAGAGAGCCAGGGCTCTGGCCGGAGGAAGGGAAGAGGGAGGGGTCAGAACAACGTACGGTTTGACCAGCCCTCCTGGCTGGCCGACCGCTCTTAAAAACCCCTCGTCCCACAACTCTCACCTGCTCCCCCGCCTCGCTCTGCTTCAACACCCCCGCCCCGGCAGGAAGGCGTTGGCAGGAGGAGGAAGGGGAGGAGGGGAGAGGGAGAGGGAGGGAGAGGGAGGGAGGGGAGGGGGAGGGAGGGGAGAGGCGCGAGGCAAGGGGTGGTGATCAATGAACTCCCCGCGAGGCCAGCCTTGAGCGGGACGGCTGCGCTCGGAAAACAGCACTCGTTTCAGTTGATTAGCGCGATGGGGCGGCGCGCGGCTTGGCGGCGCGATGCGAGGGGCGCGAGGGGGACGGGGCGGGGCGAGGTGTTTCGCTGGACGTGACCGAATGGGCCCAGCCTGCTGCTGTCGCCTGCAAAGGGGGTAGATATGGGATGGGTGGCCTGGGGCTTCGCCTGCCTGCGGTTCGTCTGGTGTCCAGAGCCGTCTGCTGCTGCTGCTGCTTGGAATGCGTAGAAAAAGCGAGAAAAGTCATTGTCTACACCTATCGCACGCAGTTGCTCTTTTTTTCCCCACAAGTTCTCTCCGGCGTTTCTAGCCCTCCCCCGTTTAACATGACATCCTGCTTCAGGGTGATGAGCATCACACCCCCGCTGAACCACCAGGATATATCACCCGTAGCCTGTCCCGGCCCGGCCCTTCCTCGGGTTCGTCCCAGCCCAGCAGCAGCCCGCCCATCGTGCGCATATGCGTCATGTTGTATAATCCGGCTGAATCCACGTGCCTCGTTCGGACGGAGCCGGAGCAGCAGCTCGAAACATGCCGCCGGGCGCTACGGAGACGAATGGGATTGGGGGGGGGAGGCTGGGAGGAGCAGAAACATTTTTCATCTCTCTCTCTCTCATCATTTTTCGACGAGTCAAAAGTTATTGATGGGCCAGGAGGGAAAAAGTGAATACACCGGCGGATATGTTTGGGTGGTATGATCATGATGGAAAAAGCCGACCCCCCACGCAACAACAAAAAAAATCCTGGAAAAGGGGGGGGGGGGCGGAGGCTCAGTGGAACGAGCAACGGGCGGCGCCGCGGATACGGATGCGTCGGTGGTCTGGGGCTTATGACGGGACGTTGAGCGTGAAGGCGACTTTACCCACGGAGAGTGTCGGTGAGGATAATCGCAGGATCGGCCGAATCGGATCATCGGATCTGCCGAATGGGATGGGCCGGGGCAAGGAAAAGGGGGGGGGGGGCGTCCTTGGACTGGCTGTACTTACGCTGCGAGGTGGAGCGCCGGATGATGTTCTCGAGGAATGTATTCTGGGGCGCCACCAGCCCCCTGCGCCCGCCCGGCATCTTGGCTCAGTCCCCTTCCCGGACTCGGGCGCAGGCCTGGGGTCCCTCGCTGCGCCTGTCGCTGTCCCTCTGGTCGGCGGCTGCCCGCGGCCCGCTCCACTCTGTGCGCGGGCAGCGGCAGGACGGGTGCGAGGCCGCCGTGACGCCGGCGTCCCCGTGGACGTCGTCCTCGTCTTCCTGGTTGGCGTCCGGGCCCGCCCCGGGCACAGCCATGGCCCTGCGCCCTAGGCTCGCCCTAGGGCAGGCGGCGCGGGCGGGGTGGGGTACGCGGCGGGGTGCGGGGCAGGGCGCAGCACCGGCTCAATCGGCGGGTCCAGCTGCCCCGCGCGGTCACCACGGCTCGGCGTCGGCCGGCGAGCGGCGGCGGGTCAGCGACGGCGGCGCTGGGGGGGCGTGCTGCCCGCGGGGCTGCCGGGGGGCGTGCGGGGTGAGCCCCAGGGGGGTCGCACTCTGCGGGGGTCTCGGGAGGGGGCGCCACCACTCTTGACGCCCATGACGTCACCGCGCCCCGCACCGCGACCAGCTCCGCGACCCGGGCCATGGCGCGCGTGGACGTCCAGCAAAGCCCATGGCCTGCAACACAAGAGAGCACATAAGTACGGACTGCGACAGGCACCTCATTCAGGTACCGGGATTGCGTCGACTCGGTACGCTGCTCTCACCTTCGCGCAGACGTCCGAGAACTGCGACATGGCTACGGCCGAGCGGTGTCCAAGATTATGGCGGTCCGGAGCTGGCTGATGTCGTTACCGAGCCGCTTCCCTCCTTCGCGATGACAAGATCTGTCGGTAACAAGGAAGAATGGAATTAGTTACAGCCGCTACCCGCACCTGCATCATGCAACCTGCACCCCATAGACATCGCTGACCCCTTTACCCCTTTCACCTTTCCACTTTCCCCGATGCATAATTAAATGATCCCATACCCAAACCCCATCACGAGCGAGCATCGGTGGCCGAGCGATCCCGAGAGCGATAGGAATTGATCAGGATGGAAGGCCATCGGGGCATACATACTGCCTTAGATCAACAAATAATTGATAACCTTTCCAGGCGACGGCCAACTCTCGATCTGGGTCTACTCGCGGGGCGAGACCGATCGTCCATGTAGTTCATCCCTCTCCCCAGAGACTCAAAAAGTACTCATGCAATGACGATCAATAAATGATAATTTCAACAGGCTGGCCTGTGCCTGGTCGAGTGTCGTTTGATCGAAGCAGCAGGCCAGTCTGCGAGAACATATGGAGTTCTAGACTGGAGCGCTTTTAAATGTAGAACAAGCATGGCCTAGCCACCCTTGGGGCCGCTAAGAATTTTTTTAAAAAATAATAGATTTGTGTAATTCCTATCAGCTCACTAAACGTGTTAGCTATGAAATGTGCATAAGTTTAGGCCCGAGGCCGCGCAGTTTCTGGATAAAAGTGTAGCTACTTACAACAATCTCAGGCCACAGGATGTTTAAAAGTCCACCCTAGACCAGTAAACATGAAGCTGTGAGACGTCGCACCAGGCCCCTTAGGGATCGTCCAGATAGTAAATCCGTTTCTATCAGATACATTCGGCAAAATCAAGAGAGCTTGGCGCCTGCGAGACTCGGGATAGGCCACACCTCACTGCACGCATGCACTGCAGGCAAGATGTTGCCTACACTGTAAATCCGGGGTGTCTAGCAGGTAGGCGACAAAGTCGCCTGACCCGCAAAACTAGGCGACTTTTGTCGCCTATCTGCTGGACATCTTCTGTTCTTCCGGGTAATTGCATGGACACAGTTGGTGGAATGCCTATGGACTCATACAATGCAATTGCCCGGAAGAACAGAAGATGTCCAGCAGATAGGCGACATAAGTCGCCTAGTTTTGCTGGTCAGGTGACTTTGTCGCCTACCTGCTGGACACCCCGGATTTACAGTGTACCCATCAGGCGCTATGTGAGCTTGCATAGGCTGAACTTGGCAGTTTCGTAAAGGGGATTGACGGACGCACTTTCTGGATGATTCCTAACGGTTACCCGCGCCGCCAAAAAAACCCGAATCGTGCCGATTCGGTTAAAAGTTCGAAAAAACGAATTTTGAAGTAAGGGGGAATACAGTCGTACAACTAAAGTTGTATTATCTGCTATCAAGATCGATGATTCTTTATTGACATTTTTTGTTGTGCTATGTGGCGTGTTGTGGATGTGGAGAGGTCCATCACCATCACCCATATGTCCATGGGCGGCACAACAGCGCGCGCGCGTCACTCCCGGGGTGGCCCGACCTGCGGCCCCGCCGGCCCCACCGAGTACTACAAAGGACTGTGTTACAGCGTTATACATCCCTACAGCGCCGCGCCCCGCCGAGTAACTACAAAGGACTGTTACATAGCGTTACATCCCCTCTCCTCGCGAGTCGAAGAGAGAGAGAGAGGGGATGAACGTCCTCCTCCCCCCCC